ACCGTGGAAGGGTGTATACTGTATACCCTCGTCGGAGGCAGATATCCACTCTTCGGAGGATAAACATCTGTTGTCAAAAGAGGACGGGAAATACCCTGTCCCCGCTACAACAGGAAGATCCCCATGTATGATGAGTTATAACTCAAGAAAGATCTTTAAGTTCGCGGTGATTAACCCCCATTCTACATTCTACATTGAAAAAAAGGTATATGGAGGATTATAACAGTATCCTTTAAACCGTCTCAAACTGGATTCAGTCAGGGGGAGATACAAAATATAACCAGGTATACACCATAATAAATGGATAAAATTACTGATTATTCAATATATTTTAAATGAGTATCATGGACTCAGTATTTATCTGGGTTCACAATAATTGATTAATATGTAATAACGGTCTGAAATTTCAGTAAGAGCCAAGAAACTTAATTCAGATGGTTTTCAAAAGGCGCTGACATATTTCAATATACCTACTAATTTCTCTATCTCGACATGCTCACTTTAGTGGAAATCCTTTAACACCCAATGCAATGGACAATGGCAAATTCCAAGAGAATATTAATATAGTTCACCTTTCGTGTAAGCCCACCTCAGAGTAAAAATTAAATTTGCTGGTATTATTATGTTAAAACTTATTGAAATATAAGTTCTATAATATAATAAGTACAAAATCAACTGATAATTAACTATGTAAAGTAATAAATACTTCAAGAAAAAAAGAAATTACAATTTAATAAACTAATATCTGAAATACACTGACACGAGGGCTCTCACAATCTCTAACATAAAACACAAAAATGTAAAAAATAAAGTATCAACATTATTAACAAATGCATTTTAGTTTGGAACTTTATTTTTTGGTTTTAAATCAGGATTTCTTTTTAATTTAGATATATTAAAATTAAAATAAATTGAACTTAAACACTCACAAATAGATGTATGTTCCTAAAGGTTGATATAATAATTAAAAAAGCAATTTTAGAGACGGGTTACTATGCACAGGACTACTATGCACAGCGTTATTATATTAAATATGTTTAATAAAATACTCCTTTTTGGCGTTTTTACCATTTAATAATAACATCGATTACTGATAGAACTCAGTTATTTTAAACTAGTATTGTTAAATAACAGGTTCAATTTCAACTGTTATTTGGGAATAGTTTAGTCAACCTCTGAATTTGAATTGAATTCTATTTTTAAACTGTCCTTATTTAAAAAATCAGTTTTATCTCTCTTTGCATGAATGTTTCTGACAAAGCATATATAATAATAATAATAATAAAATAGCATAGTCAAAAATTATTAGTTTTTTTTTTAAATGTTAATTACATTAACCTTTTGACCATTGTTGTGTTTTGTTCTAGTTATTAAAATTAATGTTTTTGCTTCATGTGTTTTTTAATATTGTTACTTTTATTTATTACTTCTATTTTATGTTCATCTAATATACATAAAAGGAAATATAAAATTACAAAATAGGAATATTTGTTTTATTGTATTCCATATTGACCCTAACTAAGAATGAAAATCGAAAATAAATGCCAAACCCCAAATTTATTTTTTTTTCTGTTTATTGCTTTTAAAAACGCTGTGAACTGATAAGAAATAACAACAGCATTATTTGAATGGCATAAAAAATATCGTTAAAATTTTCTAAAAATTTATCATAAAATTTCATATTATTCAATAATTGAACAGAAGAACATTTTGTTATTGACAATATTTTTACTCATTACTTGTATTTTTATAATAATTATAATTCACTTCTACATACACATGTTATAAAAGGTGTATTAGTCTAAATTAAATCTATTACAAGTTGATGACAAGAGATTGTTAAAAATTAATTTAATAAAATAAATATAATTTTGCTTTTTATTATAGCCATCTAATTCTAAAGTATATAATTTACAAGAAAAAATATTTTGGTTTAAATTTATATGAGTATTATTAATGTTAATATGTGAATATTTTTAGTACCGAATAATCATTGCAAACCGGTACAACATGCCAGAATCTTTTCTTATGTTTTCAACTTACTCTATAAAAAAAATGTTTGGACTTTCATTACCTTTATTTTTAAACATGTAGTTAGACCAACGTTTCGACTGTCTTGATCGGAAATCATCTTTGATTGAAGGTAGCATCTAATGTTTTCATTTGAAATAAACTATTGTACCAAACACCCATTATTAACAGTAAGGTCGTTCCAGGTTTCTACTTCATAACGCAGAAATAAAAAAATAAAAAATGTAGAAGTTCGACACAACTGTTGTATTTCATCTAAATCATCTTCAATTAGAGAACTACTTTCTGAGTAATTCTGCATATAAAATGGTCTCTTGTTCTTTTTCTTGCATCAAATTATTATCAATAAATAAAAAATGCTCCTAATATTTTGCATTGACTATAGCTCCAAATTCCTGTCTCTTTGAACATGTATTTATATGAACTATTTTTACTAAAAATTGATCTAGAGAAATACACAATAAATGTTTTGCCTTGTTTAGAAAACTGAATAATTATTACTTTGCTGAAATATATTAATAATTAATTGAAATATTAATATAAATCATGATTATTAAGTGAATTTTAAATATAAAATATTCCAATTTACAATTAAATATTTTTATCTATGCCAATAACTTTACACTATTACATTTTCTTCTTAAAACTCATGGTAATGTAATTAATTAAGAAAGTTGTAGTTAGTAACTTACTGTAGCAGTAAAAATTTAAAAGAAATAAAGCAACCAAAAATGTAAATTATTCTCATTAATTTTATTGTTACTGTAATTATAATTTAATATTTTAGTATACAGAAATGTGTCAAGCGATTTTTAACAGTGACGACTTCCCTCTGACATTATTCAAATTCACCATTTTATTCCTTTTCCGCATTTTTTGTTGTTAAATATTTCAAAAAATTTTCAAATTTCGTAAATGTTCGGACTTTAGGGTCTTCTTTATTAAGCAATTTATTTAAAGAACTTTTGACAACATAATTATATTAGTTACTTTATCAAATAATAAAATTACTTAAATTTTACATGTTTTGTTTAGCAAAATAAAACACTAAATCACCACAATACACCAAAACTCTTTTACTTTTACACTGGATGCGCGTGTCGCTAACCAAGCATAATCGGCAGATGAATAAAACTCTTAGTTTAACTTATTAAAAAAAAATTAAAAAAATATAAAAACACTTTAGTTTTAATCATCTACTGATGATCCTAACATGGTTAGCGAAACGCGCGTCCATTGTAAAAGTAAAAATGTTTTGGTGTATCGTGGTGATTTAGTGTTTTATTTTGCTGCGTAACACCAAAGGTTCCAAACCCCAACTGTAATATTCTTGTTTATTTTAGTAAATCATATTAACGAATAACTTCCAAATTTAATGCTGGCTGATAAAATCCAATGAAACGCAATTTGGACAATAGTAATGAGTAATTTAAGTGTCGAATGGTTCAGAAAATTCAAGTAACAGCAGAGCTGTGGCATTTCCTTTATAAAAAACATTGAAGTATATAATCAGTGAGCAGTGAGCCTCAAAGTGATGTCTCCGTGCAGTGTCCCCGTCTGAATCCCGACTGATTTCAGGTGTTCGTTAATTTGATAATTTAACGGATTCTTTTACACATAGACAACAAACCTAGCTTATTTAGAGGTCCACATGTGTCCGCTGTTAAATTGATGTTTTTCAAAAAGTCGTAAACACTGATTAGGATAGGAGACCCTTTTCTGAAAGAAACTGAATAACTTTCTGTTTGCCTGATTTTAATCCCACCGCTGCCACCAAATTTATTTTTACAAATTTTTCTCTAATATTAGAGTGGCCTTGAGTTCAATTATTATAGCCGAAAATATATTTAATTATTTTAGAGCGGGTGCACTTGGACTATGAAAAAATATTAGTTGAAAATTATGAACTTGAGAAAAAAAAAACAGACTCTAAAAACCTGAAAACACTAGAGAATAGTAAGATTATCATCTTTTTTTATTAACTGTCCTATAAGTAATATTTTTTGAAATTAACAGTTACTTTAAAATTGATTTCTTTTTTTAATGTTAAATATATTGTTTTTTATTAAGTTAGGTTTCTGATAAAATTAGTTTATAAATAAGTAATAATAATAATATTCTATATCAATATTTACTTTTTTTAATTTAGTGATACTTTTTAAGCTATTAATTTAAAAATACGAAAATATTGTTTTAATTTCTTTTTCTGTATTTTTCTATATAATTTTTTAGAGTGTAATATAGTAGGTGTTGTGTAAAATCAGTATGTCATTTCACACGTTAAATTTAAAATTTAAAATTTTTGAAAAAATACTAGGAACGGTCGGTGAATCCCTTCTACCCCAGAGGGAGAACCACAGCACTGACAGCATAGAGCCGCAAGTCCACAGGTTCCTGCTGATCTGGTAAACACGTCGTGGATAAGTCCTAGTAGAAGCTGATTACTAACTTTACAGGAGTATCCACGACGAGAGGCTTATTGTGTTATAATAGATTTAATTTCTTATCTTAGCGTTTTAATTAACAATTTATAAGTACGCAACGAAGATTCGATGCGCTCATTGTCCAAATGCTTCCGCTCTAAAATAATTAAATATATTTTAGAGCGGAAGCACTTTAATAATTAAAGTCAAGGTCGCAATCAGAGAATAAATTGTTACAAAAAAATACCACCTTTTCAAGTATCTTTGATTAATAGATAAAAAAACTTATAGGTTCCCAACTAGCAAAGGAGTACGACAGGAAGACGCGACATCCTTCAAAGCCACCACTAGAAGAAATCTTCCGTCAACTAGACTGGACCAAAAAAGGATTAAAAATAGATGAAGAATACTAGAACCATCTAAGATTACAAGGATTCAATCAAGGACTACAAGAACATTTATATACGTTAATAGGTTATTAAAATTTAATTAACATAATTTTTATGTTGGCTACCGGAAAACAATTGCAGTATATATATAACTTACCATAATATGTTTTCCATTTTATCTGGATCTCGTTTGCCGAATCGCCTGGCGCTATTAAGGGACAGTTCTCTAAAGGCAAGATCTCTGCAGCCTTTGCAGCCGCCGTTGCCGCTCGATCTCTTTCCATATCCTCTGGCTGTGAACAATTCCAAATTGTCTCCTACTCTTGTCGCTCTAGGCCTCATCAATTTCCTCAGTGATCTGTGGATAGATAATAAGTATATCAGCTTTTATGTTTGTATATCAAATAATAATTTTTAAGGAATTTTTGTCGGTCACGCACTTTTGTCGGTCACGTCTGAGTTCCGTCAAACAATTTCAGTTACAATAGTAGTATATTGTTTTGTTAGGAGCACAAAAATTACATTATGCGGCAAAGCTGTACGTTTTTGTGCGAAGCACAAAAGGTACCTACATTTGAGGCTACCAGCGCAAAAACCGCCTAATCCACAAACTCGCAAATTTGAGCTGAATGTTATTTATTTTATTAAAATAATTTTGTATCTAAATAAAAATAAAAATTTTAAGCTATAAAATTTGCTTTATTTGTATTCATGCATTTACTAATATTGGCCTACTAACTTTGCAAATAAATTCATAAAGAAAAACGACATAATCCACATTTCTTTCGTAATCAACATTTATTGTACATATTTATTGGCATTAGTACATGACATAACTGAGGATTAATTGGCGTATTCAATTAATTTTGTTCACTTTCTGTTTCACCGGAAATGACTACAACTTTTGATTTTTAAAAGATACTCTCGGTATTTTTTAATTCTATTTGATAGAAAATTACATTCTCAATACAATGCCGTATCATATGTCAACTTTAATATTTAAAATTAAAATAAATAGCATTTTAAATTTCAATCTAGAGTGCCCTAGATGGTCATAAATGTAACAATAATTTGACTCGAAATACATACGTATTAAAGTATGTGGTACCCAAATTATTTGTAAAAAATGTGTTTTCCAATTAAGCTAATAAACTACCGCTGTTCCATTTGGAAAAAATGGGTTATGATTAAAAATACGATTTTGGCATCTTTTAACTGACCAGGAATAGACACGAAAAACATTAGATAATCAAATATAATTTTTTAAAGTTTCTTAATTAAAAATTTATGGTTTTAAGGTAGTGATTACACTCTAGATTGGATTTTAAAATGCTCTTTTTATAATTGAAAATGTCAAAAGTTAACAAATGATATGTCATTATATTCAGAAACTCAGTTTCATAATATAGTAAAAAAACACCGAGAGTACCTTTTAAATATCAAAAGTTGTAGTCATTTCCGGTGAAAGAAAGTTATGAAGTTAGTAAAAGTAATTTAATACGTTAATCAATCGCGATTTACGTCATATACTACCATAACAAATTGCGTTTTTATATCTGAAAAAATAAAAAGCTATAAGGATGAGCCGCTTTTGAAAACACCCGTTATATTTGTTACCTGTATGGACGTTCAAATCCTAAATTTGGTACAAGTTCTTCTGAAGAAAAATATATGTTTTTTTCTTTCATCCTCGGTGGGAAAGGATCCGCTATTGAATTATCTGAATTGTCTGAAATAAGTCTTGCTTTTGTAGTCATGATCCAGATAAAAATTAGAGTGTACAGGGCCACGACATGGTAAATAGTGTTCGCCATAACTGAAACAAATAATAAATACATACATATATTAAAAAATATATACAAACAATTAGATTACATATATTTTTTGTTTATAATATAAAAAACGCTGTTACAGCGTTTTAAGATGGAGCGGGGCGTCCGCGACGGACCGTTCGCGACTTCGAGCAAGTACCATGAGTTTATATGAACGATTTCACATGGGTCGCGTATGCTCCGTCCGGATGAGCTATATTGAAATAACATCCGCGCGGACGCTCCGCGCGTACGGTCCGCTCCATCTGAAAGAGCTGTTAACGGTACTATTAAACCTTGGTCCCATTATCTAAAAATAAAGTTTTTTATTATCTTTTTTTTCACCACCCTTTCAAGACCACACAAATTTTTGTAAACAAAATATGACATCGAATTTGACAATAACAAAATCATATTTTTGCTGATACTGTAACTCTAGCTTTCTCTGGGCCGTATTATAATTTTTTAGTAATTTGAAGGTCGATTTATGCAAATAACATTTAAATACTTATTCCAAATAAAACGAATTTCTAGACAAAAGTACAACTTTAACCCCTCTTTATAAAAGTCTAATACAAATTTTTCCTCTTCAAGAAAGTCTAATACAAGTCTAATACAAAATCATCTGTGGAGATAATAATTAAGAACTTTCCAAAATTTACATGGCAATTCCTATGTTCCGTGTTCCCATGCACCATACGGTATTTTTATAGTATTAAAAAGGTGCCAAAATAGAAGTTATAACAACTTGTCAATCATATCCAAATAAGTTATGAAAATATTTTAATAAGCAATTTTATATTCAAATTTGTAGCCGGGAAAATATCAATTAATACCGTAATCTTTTCGCTTTGTGTCCCATTTTTATTTAATTAACAAAGATTTAATGACAAAAGGTCTTTTTGTTGGAAGCTCTAATGTAATCGCAATTTATGAAAGAATTTACCCTAAAATAAAATTTTAGAGTCAAATTAAAGATATTTTTATATCATCACTATAATATATTTTCGTAATTTTTTTAATATTATAAATTTTTGAACCGGTTATTTGATTTGGTGTTAAAATGCATTTTGCATTTTTTATAATACCTTGTGATAATCCAAATCCAAAATTATTTTGTTAGATATTTTGAGGATATTGCAACCTAATCAAAAATTTACTTAAAATATCAAATCGTCTAACGTCGCGTAACTTTCTAAAATAAATAAAACATTATTGTCAATGGGAATTTTTATTTGTCAATAAAATAATTTACTCCTTGCATTCCTTTTTTACCCTGTATAACTTAAGTTATTTAATGAGTTATCAATGATTTAATAAAGTCTAGCTAAATAACTAATAAATATTTTTATAAGCAATGACGAAATGACCCAAGTGCCAAATTATGTATTATATCATGGGGTATGAAAATAAGTAAAGTGTTAATATATAAACATTATTTATCATAAAAACGTTGATAGATTAATTAAATTATTCAACAATATTTCAATATACAATACATTTTTCTCTTTCCGACTAGATTGCAATAGCGATTCACTCCTAGACGTATGAACACCGACCCAAGACTTTGCTTGTCGATAGGGTATAATTTAGGTAATAAATATGATTCAATAAAGATATTTCAATCAAGACATATGTTGTTATTCAAAAATAAACATTTTTTAAATTTTCTGCAACGATATTAAAAGGTTTTAAGATCAAGCGTCCGAAGAATTTACATGTTTTTTTTCTATCAATGTCAATGCTCGCTTGAGACTAACTTTTTCAGAATACGCTATTTATTTGCGTTATTTTTCTTGTCCAATTATAGATATTTTATAAGTTTCCGTAACACAAATTTTGAGAGGCATCTTAGAACAACATTTCTTCTTAAAAGAAAACAATAAAGACGAAAGATAAATAAAGGGAAAAATGTAACAACAACAAAACAAACCTCTATAATATACAGATCATCTTTATACAGGGTGGTCCGAATTATATTCGGGAAACTTCGGCATCATAATTTGGAAAAGAAAATAAGTAAAAAAGTTCGCATAAATTGTCCTAAAATACTTCATTTCGGAGATACGGAATGTATTAGTTTCATTTTTATTTTGTTTCTAAATAAACTATAATCGATATTTGGATGAAAATTTTTGTCTGGGTATTTTTGGACATGAGAAATTCTATTTCGATGTCAATATGACTCCTACTTGTAGGGGGCACCACCCATATGTTTTTTAGCTGTTTAGAAAAGTAATATATTTTCGTCCGTACCTGTATAACTGAGTGAAAAAATATACATTTCCTAAAAGTTAATACTAAGTTACTACTAACTATTATTATTTTTATAAACTGCCTATAGTCAATTGGCTATTTTCCTAAAAATTTTATGCATCAAGTTCAAGCATCAATCTTAATGTTATAAAATACCGTATAATCAAATAATAGTGCGCCAAGTTGACTTGGAAAACTTACAATTTTACATACACAGGATAACGATCCTCATTTCCAAGCCAGCTCTGTACTTTACACTAATTTAATATTAAAAATTACATTGTCGATTTTTTTTTTCTAAATTGTATGAAGATCTACTTTCCAAAATAGTTCCTCCTTTCGGGATACAGAGAAAGAATACATAAACATGATGACATTTCCATACAAGCAATAATGATTTAGTATAACCATTTTAATTCGTAAAGTAGTGGAAATATTGTAAGTTATGTGTTTTTATTTTATTTTCTAAGATTTTTTTGCTTTATTCAGTGCCTATTCCTTTATATTTTAGAAATCAATGTTGTTATCTTTATTTCTAATCATAACAACATTCACCTCTCTTCTACAAAATATAAAAACACAATCTTATAGGTGCTGTATTTTATCTCGGTCTAACGATATTGCCGATATTGTGTAAACAAGATCATTCAATTCGGAACTACAGAATTTTTAAGAGTATTGATTTATACGACCTGTATATATAGATTGCTCTTTCTTTATATTATATTTTTACTCCTACGTAAAAACATATTCTCTAGGCAGGCGTAAAAATAAAAATTATGTATGTTTCGGTTAAAATGTACACTAGGCTACATTTAAAACTAACCAATTATTTTACAAACTAACTATACTTTGTTTTATAACTAAAGAAAGATTTCGAAGACGATACCAGAAAAAATGCAGTTGATGTCCATATCAATCCATTTATTTCGCTAAAAAAGTTTCTAATATATTTTAAGTTAACTATGGATGAGTTTATAAATCCGTCACGCGCTATCTCTTGTTGTTTTTAATAAGTCTTATTGGGGTTTAATCTTAGGGTTTAATTCAAAAATGACAGTGAGAGAAAACGAAAATGAGTGACGGAACGATGAACGTCGCACGAACGCAGATGCGTATGAAATCCACTTAAGATTTTTGACATTTGTCAAACTCTTGTCAATTTAAGGTTATTATTTATGTCAAATAACGAGCTTTCCGAAAAATTATAACTATTATGTCAAATTAATAATTTTCTAAAATACAACCAACTTTTAAAGTATAAAATTCTTTGAAAAATTTATTGAAATTGTTATTAATAAAATATTTTGTTTAATTTATATTTTGGTTGATTTTATTCCTGTGCAATATTAAATCTTTTTTTATTTATGCATAAATTATATTGATAAATATAATAATAAATGCAAGAAGTTTTTTGAGATTTGAAAGTAAGAAATAGTTATTTTTTATAGATTTTTTGTATGTGGTGTTTTGTTTAACACACACCTTTGTTTGTTTTGTATTAACACACGCCCTAGTTTTTTTTTAAATAAAATGGCTCGGTTAGATTTTTTCAGTTTTATAAAGTTTTATATTATAATATAATCATGTACCACTAAAATTTTAAAAAATACATATAAATTTCCCGCTTTGCATTCGAATTGTCCCAACTTATTTCTATGTAAAATAAAATAAATTATTTTGAAATTAAAATGACCGGCATCTATCCTTGTCAAGGATTTTGTCTATATAGGTAGTTTCTGAAAAAAACTGCAAAATAATAAAAAACCGTATACTAAATAATTAAACTAATTTGACAAAAACCACATAACATAAATACGTGAGCAAGCATGAGAAACATGTAGGAAATAAAAAAATAATTTATTCCCCCAGTAAAGTTGCAGAGAGTCAACTATATTTGTTTCTAAACTATAGCAATTCAAAGATTTTGACTTGTCATTTCAGTTATTTCTTGCTAGATAAAAGAGTAAATAAATCTCGATATTTAATTAATCTTGTATAGGAACAATAGATACGTTTCCAAAAAATAAACGGAAGTGTCAAATGCGATCTCTAAGAGTACACATTCCCATTTCAATAAATTTACAATGATAGAATTAACAAATACAAACAAAACTAGATTAAATTGTTGCGAGAGTTTCTTTTTTATAAAACATGGCAGTTTGTCAAAATACCTAAAATTAGAATTATTAATATAAAACAGTGCAATTAAAAATAAATTACAACTTTGTAAAGTGTAGTTTAAAACTTGTATATAGATATTTAAAAAATCTTCATTCAAAAAAATTGATCGTAAGCTATTACATTTTTATTTTCCTCAAATTTGATATACATTTCTACTTAAAATATATCGGTAAAAATATTTAATACATCTTAAAAAGACATACAATACGATTCCTCAATGTACGATTTATAAACTTGGGCGGGGGCGGATATAGGAATTTATTTTAGGGGGGCCGAAATAAAAAGTAATGTAGAATATACTTTTTAGGGCGTCCTTTTTAACCCAAAAGCCTAATATTTATAGATTTTAGGGGGGCCGGGCCCCATGAGTCCCGGGAAGTTTACTGCTTGGTAGAAGGAATTCGAGACAGGCAATAAATTATAGCCATTGACTGGTTATTAATTAATTTCTAGGTCAGAATTTGTAAAGTTCTTCCGGACTCTATCACACAGAGAAATACTTTTTTTTCTTAGTGATAAATTATTTAAGTATAGATGGATCTTCATACAGGTATGTTCGGGTTTG